TCCCCCGGCGCCTCCTCGGCCGCGAGTCCCCCGGGCGGCGCCCGGGCCCGGACTGACGCCCGCCCTTGCCAAAATAGAGCCGTCTCCCTCAAGGGCTGGCGACGTGTTCGCGACATGGTGGGCCGGCGGAGGGCCTGCCCTGCCTGCAGTTTCTCTTTCTTGGCACATCTGAAGTAACCGGGAGATGTCTGGATGAACAGAGGTCCCATTGTGACCTAATGATTTTAAAAAGAAAGCAGAAGCTGCCCTTTGAAACGGAAAATTGTGTACGTGTTTACTTTAGACTGCGAAATCGTTAACTTGTTTGAACTCGACCACCTTCTCTCGCTTTATGAATTGAGAACTCGTGGAGTACAAGGATTTCCCTTAGTTTGATGTGGAGCAATTATTTTGAATTCATGTATTTTTTTTCCCCTGGTTTAGCAATCTTAAGATTTTTTTTTAATAGCTACCTCAAAAGGAAAGGTATATACACTCTACAGACTACAGATCTCTAGAGTTATCTGCTTCGAGTGAAACTAGAAAGAATTTAAAATGTAAAACTAACTTTTTAGAGGGCACGTTTGTGTGAAATATCTGTCTTTCATATCAGCGCTATAAAAACGTAGGGCGCAGGACTGATCACGTGTTGTTTATATACGAATCTGTACGTCTGGCTCACTGAGCATTCAGGCATTCGGAAACAAAACCCTATATCGGCAGTGTGGTCTGAGCGACCGAAGTTATACTTTCTTCTGAGGCAGCTAATTAACAGGGGGGGCCCTCTCCCCCCCTCCCCTCCCCCCGCAGTTGTGAATTTTTGCCTGAATTTGAGCAGCGTGGATTTCAAATCTCTTGCAGTGTGACTTAGTTAACCTTTAGTAAGGACTGTACCCTGACTTTTTTTTAAAGGAACTTTTCCTCTGACCTAAAGTAAATTGGAAAGTAAAACCAGTCCCTTGTTTTCTAGTCTTGATAATGTGGAATTTTGCTATTCTTTCCATTTGGCTACTGACAATATTAAGCTTGCTTCTTCACTTTGATCTTTTGTTGGCCTAGTGCTTACTGAAGGCCTTTTAGATCGGGCCCTGAAATCCTCAAGAGGTTGTTGTCAGTAAACTCCACAGGACTATGGCATTTCTGAGAAGGCTTTATAGTCCACACTTTCCCACATAGTGTTATTTTCTCTACACACAGTTTTGTAGGAAGGGTTTTAAGTGATAGAGCTCTTCTTTTTGCTCTCCTAAGAAGCGTTACCATAAAATGTTAACATTATTCACAGGGCCTGTAAGGAGATGGGAAGGAATACAGGTGTCACAGTACTTAAAAGTCTACACTTCTCCATAGATTTTCTTTTTCCTGGTTAATGGAAATGAGGTATTTTTATAAGATCCAAACATTAAACATTGTGTTTAAGGTGGGTAATAAACTTGAAACTTGAATGCAGCTTTAAAAACTAAAGTATACCTTGGTTTTCCCAAAGATTTCACACGTTTATTTAGAAAAGTTTTCTTCCTGCCCTCTTAAGACCAGGAAAAATGATCGATCCTGTTATAAAGTGTATGAATGAAAACGTCAGAGTTCTTAATATATCTCGTTTTCAGTTTTGTGGAGTTTGAATAGAGCAACTAATATTTAAATAACTCAGAATATTAAGATAACAAGTTGACTTGAAGTAACTTTTTAAGTATATGAAGGTTACTCCTGGTTCCTTTGCCAGGATTTTGCAGTTTCTGGATGTGGGAAGAAGGGAATTATTGTAGGAGCTTTGGAAAAATATAATTATTTAATAAGAGACGCCTTAAAACTTTCCCTTTCTGTGTTCCACTCCCATACCTCTGACAAGTGGTGACATGTTGCTTCATGGTAGGCAGGGGATGTTAAGTATTCCTCAGTTTACCTTAAATTTTTTTTTATAGAAACAAACTTCAGTAGTCATGATCATGGTTAAGTGGTTATGCCTTTAATGATCTCATGAGTATGTTTGACTATCTGGGAAATACTTTCTTATGCTTTTGTGATTGAAAAATCATTGACTTGTTGGAAAATGAAATCCCAGTGAAAAAGTTAGGGTTGATTTTGCTTTAGTCAATATTTAGCCAGCTTTCTTTAGTCACTGCAGAGCTAGAGGAAGAAAAGTGATATCCAAAATAAAAGGACGTACTACACACAACATTATTCTATCACAAATGGCGTCTCTCTTATGTTCCTGTTTAATTTTTTCAAAGTGAGATAACTTATTAGTCATAATGTAGTACAGAAGGTTATACTTGTGACCTGAATTTACTTAGGGTACTGAGCATAATTGATAGAGCCATGTAGTTTTTTTCAGTGTGGTTAGAAAGGAGGAATACAGGGAGATAGACCTAAGCTCTGAATTTGATTAGAGTAGGGGATGCTATACTGAAGTTGATCAAACTTCAAAAGGCAAAGTTTTTTAATTGATGTTTGTCACAACTCAAAAAAATTCTGTTTTTGTAGTGGTTGACAATCAGAAGACCAAGCCTTCCAAACATTTTCAACTGTTTGGGTTGTTTTGATAACTTGAAAGCAAACTGTTTCTGGCACCAATATTTTGTTCTCGAGGAGAAACCTATCTCCTCATTGCAATGAAGAAAAGCTTGTGTTGTGGCTGGTGCCCTCCTGGCATCAGCCTTCTCAAGATTAGTCTGTTGAACTCGTTTTATGATTTGTACCATCAAGATGCTCCCTAAATCCTTGAATGAATTTTTCTTATCTAAAATAATACCATTTCCCCAAGGTGAAAAGAGAACTGTGTTTAAGTGTTGAGACCTCGTAATTGGGGCCCTAGACCTGGTACAGGTTTGGAGATTCGGGAATTAGGAAAGTGCTGCAAAAAGCTTGACCAGTGAACACATTGATAAAAATAATTGCAAATATTTGTGTGTACTAGTGCTATGTGTCAGGCACTGTTCCAGGCTGTTTATAAAACTCATTTAATCCTAATCCATTGAGAAGAGTTCTGTTTTTCTCTCCCATTTTACAGATAAGCATACTACAGCACAAAGGAAATAACTTTAAAAAGGTCACGCAACTAATAAGTTGCAGAATTGGGTTTTCAACCCAAGTAATTTGGCTCCACAGTTCATGCTCTTAAGTTTTTGGCAATACTGACATTCAGAAAGCCTTGGATCCTTTCTAACAAAAGTTTTTGATTTTCTGTATTGACGTTTGACGCACTAGAAGATGCAGCACCACCTATGTCCGTAATATACAACTCGGAAGTGCTTCATACAAATGATGACCTGTAGCCCACTGCCCTTCCTCTCTATCACTGTTTTATCCCTACTCTCTAAGTTCTGTGCAGTCCTTGTTTGCAACCGTCTCATCTTTTTATCCTTCCTTCATTTAATATACACAGCTCAGTTGATTGCTGATCAGGCTCATTTATACGTTCAATGTTTAATTCTTTATTCCTTGATCCTCTTGGTCTTGCCTAGTTCACATTGGAAAAGTTGGCTTTGTTCCATTTGTTTCTGTAGCTCTCAGTGGAAGGGCACCACAAATGACACACTTGTGGGAATGAAAACTAGGTTTCAAAATGAAATTAGAAACCTTCCTTCCCCATATAAAAACCACTACTATCAACCTATGAAACGTTTGAAAGTATTTGGAATTTTTTTTAAATTTCACCATTTCAAAGGCTTTCTCTAATCTTGATTCCTATTCCTTTAATATCAACATGTAGAATCTACAAAATGAATATAAAGTTTATCATTACTATTCTTTATGCGTATTATAGTCATACTTGTAAATTTTCTTTGCAG